GCTGTCTAAATGACTCGGGTAAAGTTTGTAGCATGCGTGCTTGTTGTTTTTGTCCGCTTCCACTTGTCTTTGCACTAGGATGATGTCGGCGTAAATGTGCAGTCATATTCATTGTGTTCCCACTAGTGCTGTCAGTGTTGATCTGAAATGAGGTTAACGCCACATTGACATTTAGTTTCAAGCAAAAAAAGGCTATTATGCATACATAACAGTATTTTTACCCTTTATATTGCTCATTTTTTTACAGTGAGAATGTATCCATCCATCCATCATGAATATAAACCTCGCTGCCTGTATTTGATGTGTGACTTTTATAGATTTCCATCAACACTGGAAATAAATATTCTAAAAAAAATCAGTTATAGAGTTTCTACATGCAAAATCTTTACTGGCATGTTTTACATCTAACAGAGAAATAAAGATGATATTTTTCACTCACTTTTTAACAAGGCATGGCAACAGCAGGGAGCTCTGCAGATTTGATTTGTGTAAATTTATTTTATTTGCCTGCTGGCTATTTCACTTCTCTTGTCTTGTCCAATTAAAAAAAAGAAGTCAAAAGGTAATTTTTTCAAAAAAAGAAAACACATAAAAAACAATTTGTCTTCAAAGGCTTGAAAAAGTAAATTAAAATAAATGTCAAACTGCAATTTTTGAGTTAATTAAAACTGTTACAACATGGAAACTTATTCTATAGAATAATATTAAACTTGCTGTAACTTTAGGTTTGGCAGCTTTGATTGTTTGATGATTGTAGAGCACGCAGAATTTTTTGTGTGTGCGAGTGTTAAAGTACCAACACTGCACGCGTCCTTTTGTAAACCTGGGAGACAAAAAAAACCCAACTCACATGGCTGGACAAGGATCCTTATTACAGCTGGTTTGGTTGTGGTCAAGTCGGGTTAAGTGGTCACAGAAGTGCTCCTCAACTATCCCAGTTGTCTTTTCCACACAGTGGATAATCTGCCTCTGAACACCTGAAATACAGAAGAGAGAAACTTTCTGTGACACCTAGTACACAACTTATAAATGATTATAAGAAACAAAACAAAAAGTGTCAACATATTTATCTGTTACACATTTTAAAAACTGAATCCGACACCAAGGGCTGTAAAAAGATGTTAACAGACCAGCCAGGTGGTTTCACTGTTCGATTATTAATTTAAACTAAAGGATTACATTTAAAGGATTTACAACATAATTAAAAATATGGGTGGAAGTGGAAAAACAGAGCTGCCCATTTTAATGTACATTTTATTTGCAAACCCTTTCCATAGCTTTCACAACAAAAGTAATTTTGAACCATTTAACATTAAGAAAAAAGACTGCTACACTGGCACATTTGTGTTTTGATTCATTCACTTCATTGTGAAATGGTGTATGCTGAGATAAATGCTGCGAGCAATGTAAATGAGCCAAAAAACAAAGACGAAGAAGAAAAAACGTATGAAACACATTTTGAATCTTTGCTTTAAATCCATTTTTCAGAACATCACTTTAAACCCTAACATAGTCAAAGCCCATTCCAGTTGATTTTAGTTCATGGAGGGGTTGGTAATATGTTTACCAAACACGAATTTACAACAGTATCACACAATTAGTCTTAAAACCCACAAAAACCCAGTATTTACAACACTGTCATGTTAAGCCACCATGTTGCAACTGACTGAAGGCGACTGAGGCCAGACTGGTGGCTGAAAGCCAGCATTGCTGGCAAGCCTGACTGGACAGAGGTACCAAGATGAGGTTCTCCAAGCTGTAGCTGTGCCACTCTTGTGGCTGCACACTGTCCTGTGGCTATTTCAGCAGGACAATGCCTCCTGTCAGAGTAGCGCCAGCCTTTCAGGATGACTCATATCCAAAACCTTCCTTGGTCAGCATTCAGTCCCGTTGTTCCTCCTACTGAAAATACCTGGGGACACGCTGGCTCGAGGTGTTCATGAGAAGCATCACAGTCAATAAACCATTTTGCAGATAAACCAAGAATCTGCATTTTTGTGACTAATATATAAATATTTGATCTAAATCCATATGCCCGTGTTGTTAAGCAGTTAAGAGCTATCGTTCTATTTCAAACATATGGACAACCAATAACAGATTTATAAACAAACACACTAGTAAAAGTAATTTAATGGCAATGATTAAAACAAGGTAAATAAAAATAGTGACTCAAGATGAGTTAAGAAGAAAGAACTGTGAAAAAATGTAAAAAACATTTTAATGATGATAGGTTTCCTTTATTTAAGTGATATATAGAAAATTTTAAAGCCATTTTTAAAAAAAATCTCTGTAGGCAGAGTGTTTGAAATATGTGCATGTTTAAACGTGAAAGGATTCTGATTAAATATTAAACGTTTGAACAGTCCTGTTGAATTTTAACAGTATGCTGAGTACCAACTGCTCCTGTTCCAGTGATACCTTTGCTTTTACGTGTAAAAAATATAACGAAAAATCGACCAAATTCTCAAAGCTTCTCAAAGCCTGTGTCACGTAGCTCTTCTCATCCAATATTTGACAAATTTGTTGGTTGTTAATTTTAGCCACCTGACGCTAAATGGTTACACCACAAGAAAAGATATCAACAGAATCGTGGTGTGCATATACGGATGGTGAGTCTTTATGGTTTCAAAAAGCACTGCACTAACGGTACCTAATAGGCTGACAACAGATTTATCTCATGTGACAACGCTCTCCATCATTCCTCTCACTCTCCTGAGGGGACTTTCATCCTGTCGAAGCAGAAGACAACCCTCGGCTCACAGCGCCCTCTGCTCTGATCCTGCTGAGGGCCACAATGCACATTTGATAGCTAATTTACACCTTCATAGATACGTCTTAAGGGTCATGACAGCTATGTGAGATTGGAAGCTGCACAGAGACAGAAAGAAGAAAAGAAATGATATGGGGGAAAAATACAGAGAAACACCCCATATTGATGACATGATGTCCGTGGCTAAATTTAAACACTACTTGGACAAATAATGTTCTCTTATCATGAATTCTTGGTACACCGAGAAGCTTATGAATGTGGGTAAAACAGGGACACCCAGGGAAGGTAAAGAATCTCCAGCTAGATATACCATTGTACTGTCTTGTTATTGTGTACTAACTAACGAATACTAAAGCAGATGAGGTTACTGTATTAGCTCTTCTGTACTTCTGCTGCTGCCCTTATGGCATTTTCAGAATTAAGCCTTTCACTTCCAAATCTCTGAATCCCACCAAGTCTACACAGCCCACTCAGTAAAATGATTTCCATCAACATATGCAGATGTTTCAGCTTTGGTCATCGGGATGAAGAAAGTGGCATCCAAATATCTCTGATGGAAAATGAATCATGTTTTAAAGCCAGGAGCGATTTGAACTCTGGGAAGAAATGGTCAACAAACACAAGGAAAACATGGAAGCGCCACATTAAGAAGAGCGCTGTTATATCGTGAGGCTCGGACTTTTTTCCTGTATAGCGGCGATATTTATCACTGAGTCACCACGCTATAAAAAATTGTCCTCTTTGAAAAAACAAAACAAAAAGACTAAACAATAAAGCATTATCAATGCTTTAGTAAAGGAACACAATGTGGTTTGTGTGCAGGTTTTACTTGAAGCGAGGCTCAATAGGAATTTTCTCGCTGGTGGTTGTAAAGTGATATTTATGAAAGGATCAACAAAGGCAGTAATGAAAGACACTCAGTGAAGCTTGTTATTGTTACAAGTATTGGCATGATTAAATTTATCACTCTTGAAAATGCATTTGAAAGCAAAGTCAAATAATATTTTTCATTTGTCTCCGAGAACAGGACACCAGTTTCAGTGATTTAGTTTCATTATCATTGAAAAGTCTCTGACTGATCTTCAAGCTCAAAACAACATCCCTATTTGGGAGGTTAATACAGATTTCCAGCTTATACAGATAAATGATGTCTAATAAAATAAAAGCCTGAAAAAAGAAGAGGAAAGAAATATCTAAACACTGAGCCTACTTGGCAAAATTGGACAAGCTTTAGGGGTTGCAGAAGCTTGTTAGAACGATTTGGCAGTTTAAAATGGATTTGAACTTTGAACACCATTCAATTACGTATATTCATTTCCTTTTATCTTATTGAAAAAGAAGACATTCACTGGTGCTTTCCAGAAACAGAAGTCAGAAGGGATAGAGTCATTTTTATCTATATTTAAAACAACATTTAAAGAGCTATATGACAAATAAAGAGTTACATAAATAAGGAATGAAGCAAACCACATGAAAATACCAAAGATGCAATCCTGAAAACACACAAAAAAGTAAACACAGAAACTCTACACCTGGTATCGAAAAATCTCCCAGCTTTAATCTTTATGTTACAATCTAACACTAACCAATCTGAACTTCAATCTTGTTACCAGATCATCCAAAACCAGAGGCAGACTGGTGCTAACTATGTAGTGACTTTAAAACAACAACAACAACAAAATTACACAAAAAAAAGTAACGACAGAAAACCTTTCATGCCCACATTCCCACTGACGGGCAGTATGGAATCAGCAATAAACCTAAACCCAACAAGCTGGATGTCTGTGGACTGTGGGAGGAAACCTGATTACGCAGAGAGAACCCACACAGACACGAAGAGTCCACACAGAAAGGTCTCAGCCAAATGGTGGATTCAAACACAGGACCTGACTGCTGTGAGGTAATATTGCCAACAACCATGCCACCATGGTGACATACAACTGACAAGTGACATTTGGGGTTTAAATGTTATGGTATACAGCAGCGGTCCCCAACCCCCCGGCCACAGACCGGTACCGGTCCGTGAGTCGTTCGGCACCGGGCCACGAGTGTTGAGGCTCAGATATGAAGTTTATGGTTTTCAGGGTTTTTATCGTTAGCTCAGATTCCCTGGGTCTTTTCCCGTGTTGTAGTTTTGTGTCTTATTTTGAAAGAAATATTTACGTGTTACCACAGCAACCAGAAAGTATTAAGGGGCAGAGAGGAGGACGTTACTTTCAATGTTGTTGGCGCATTTCAGGAGGACGCTGCTAATAAAGTTACACAATTACACAGTGAATTCCTGTTTATTATTATATTTGCAGCATATCACAGTTTTTGTCTTGGTCGTATCATTTTATTTTGTTGTATTTATCCGCATCACCTTAAAGGCCGGTCCGTGAAAATATTGTCTGACATTAAACCGGTTCGTCGCGCAAAAAGGTTTGGGGACCGCTGCTACGCAGCATCCAACTGGGCACTAAAACTCCTAAAGCCCCACCGACTCCCTCAGTGTATTCTTGGATACATAAAAGTACAGCTTCAGTGCTACAACAAGCTTTAAAAGTTCAAAATCAATGTCAAATCTAAAAGAACCACGCGGCCATGGTATCCGCGAGTATATGTAAAAGGGATGAAAGGACTTGTCAGAAAGGCATTTCTTTCTTCTTTATGAAACTTCCCACACATTGGGAAACGCATAAATCCTGAGTGGGTTTACACAAGGCTGACAAACAAAGGTCTCCACCTCCACCATAATCTTCTGTATGTCTCATCTTTGTAACCTGCAAAATGAGTTTGATTCATTACGCGACAATTTGACAACCTTGTGAAACTCTGAACTGAAAAATGAGGCAATTACAGTACAAAAGGAAGATGAGCAGATGTGAGAAGAAATTATAAAGGCGAAATCAACTGCAGGGCAAGGCTCTGGGAGGGGGTCCATCCATCAGGGCCACACGGGAGAGTGGAAAGCGATAAGAAGCAAAAGAGATAACAGGATGGCACAGCGAGGGCAACAAATAGCAAACAATTGATCATACTGGCCTCTTTAATCTTAACAAGATTTTTGTATTTGAAATGTGTGAAGCAACAGCATAAATGCTTCTTCATCATTCTTCATTCTTTTGTTGTTTCTCAGAAACTATTGACTGTCTTGTGACAAATTAAAGTCACCTCATGTTTGACCCCCTATAGTGAGCTGATGTAGTAGCTCTGCTTCGCTGGCTAGAGCAGAATATCTGTAAATCAATACAAAACTGTTCTGAACAACCACTTTTATCCTGTGAAGAAACACTTTTTGTGTTGATGGGAACAGCCTCGTGCAGGATAACAATGTCTCCACGAGAGCTCACTCATGGGTTTAATGACTCTGAAGATGAATATAAATCATCGATTTCACTGGTCTTCACATCATTAAACGCCTATGGGATTTTTTGAACAGTACGCTCCACCATCATCATCAAAACAGTCTCTATTCCTCCACATGCAAAAATAGTGGCATGTGGCACATTTTCCACAATAATCTCTCTCACTCCCCGCACATTTGCCCACTTATGTGTAGCAAAGCTGTTTCTCTTACCTGTTCCGCAAGTAACGCTGCACTCAGTCCACGAACCGTATTTCCAGTAGAAAACTGACACCGGGGTGTTGTTCTTTTCTGAGACATTTTGACTGATGGTGTACTCGTACCTCACTCCTGGATTGGCCTCTTGAAAGAGAAGCTGTAACACACGAGAGGAAAAATAAGAAACGTTTCATGGCAACAGAAAGAGAGGTGCAAGGTAGAATCGAAAATAGCTATGCTGAGTGGTGAAATTTTACTTCCCTCACCATCTCTTATTTGCACAGCTATAGACTATTTCCAGTTTCAACAGAAATTATTATAGTTACTACATTTGCTCATTTGGAGCAGAACTGTATGCAGTTTAAAGACTTGAGTTTAAAAGTTTTAAATATGATAGTTACTCTTAAAAACCACCGATGCAGCTGAAACAATTTTTTTGTCTTCATGAAAGTAACCAAAATGCAAAGGACTTTGTTTCCCAGCCTTTTCATATGGGAATAAACAGAGTCTTTCTCTATGACTTAGAAAGGGATAATGCATTTAAAACCGTGGGTTTACTCATACCTGAATCCACAGAAGCTCTGTAGTGGGCCCTGGAGATGTCAGGTTTTCAAGCTGTCCGGTCCTTTCATAGGTGAATACTGTTCCAGCAGCCTTGTATTCTCCATTCCACTGGATCGTCCAGCCACCATTCAGGAAATACTTGCTGGGATTGTCACTTCGGAGTGCCAAGAAATTTCCAGCTGCACCCAACTCCTCAATGTGAATGTCCCAGGCTCCCTCTGGGATCAGTCCAATGTCTACATAGCCTAAAAAGATGTGAAATGTTAGTGAAAGAACAATCTTTGTGAAATAGAAATACAAGTATTCTGTTACG